AGAGAGACCAGAGAGAGACCAGAGAGAGACCAGAGAGAGACCAAAGAGAGACCAAAGAGAGACCAAAGAGAGAGAAAAGAGAAACCAGAGAGAGACTAGAGAGAGATCAGAGAGAGACCAGAAAGAGAGATCAGAAAGAGACCAGCGAGAGACCTGAGAGGGACCAGAGAGAGACTAGAGAGAGACCAGAGAGGGACCAGAGAGAGACTAGAGAGAGACCAGAGAGAGACTAGAGAGAGACCAGAGAGAGACCAGAGAGAGAGCAGAGAGAGACCAGAGAGAGACCAGAGAGAGACCAGAGAGAGAGACCAGAGAGAGACCAGAGAGAGAGAGATCAGAGAGAGAGACCAGAGAGAGACCAGAGAGTGAGATCAGAGAGAGACCAGAGAGAGAGACCAGAGAGAGACCAGAGAGAGACCAGAGAGTGAGATCAGAGAGAGACCAGAGAGAGGAGAGAGAGACCAGAGAGAGGAGAGAGACCAGAGAGTGAGATCAGAGAGAGACCAGAGAGAGGAGAGAGAGACCAGAGAGAGAGATCAGAGAGAGACCAGAGAGAGAGACCAGAAAGAGAGATCAGAGAGAGACCAGAGAGAGAGATCAGAGAGAGAGACCAGAGAGAGACCAGAGAGAGAGATCAGAGAGAGACCAGAGAGAGAGACCAGAAAGAGAGATCTGAGAGAGACCAGAGAGAGAGACCAGAGAGAGAGATCAGAGAGAGACCAGAGAGAGACCAGAGAGTGAGATCAGAGAGAGACCAGAGAGAGGAGAGAGACCAGAGAGTGAGATCAGAGAGAGACCAGAGAGAGGAGAGAGAGACCAGAGAGAGAGACCAGAAAGAGAGATCAGAGAGAGACCAGAGAGAGAGAGATCAGAGAGAGACCAGAGAGAGACCAGAGAGACACCAGAGAGAGACCAAAGAGAGACCAAAGAGAGACCAAAGAGAGAGAAAAGAGAAACCAGAGAGAGACTAGAGAGAGATCAGAGAGAGACCAGAAAGAGAGATCAGAAAGAGACAAGCGAGAGACCTGAGAGGGACCAGAGAGAGACTAGAGAGAGACCAGAGAGAGACTAGAGAGAGACCAGAGAGGGACCAGAGAGAGACTAGAGAGAGATCAGAGAGAGACCAGAGAGAGCAGAGTTAAACTGAATCTGAATCTTATATTTACATGCATGAGGTGTGTGTCTGTTCAGGAGATCCCAGAGCCTCTGTGTCTCGTTCTGGTCCCTGGTCCTGCTCCTCTTTAGTGACACATTCAGGAAGCGAAGATGATGATGACGAATGCTTCTGCACCAAGGTAAGCACTATTACAGAGCGCTGACAGAGGAGACCAGAGCGAGACCAGGAAGAGACCAGAGAGAGAGAGAGAGAGAGAGAGAGAGAGAGAGAGAGGAGGCAGACGAGCGGACGGGTTGTTTATCCTGCGTGTGTGATACCAGTCTGCAGCCTCTGTGTCTCTCCAAGGGTCATTAGCCTCAGGAAGGTCAGCTGTGTTAGAGAGACCGGAGAGAGACCAGAGAGAGACCAGAGAGAGACCAGAGAGAGACCAGAGAGAGGCCAGAGAGAGACCAGAGAGAGACCAGAGAGAGACCAGAGAGAGACTAGAGAGAGAGCAAAGAGAAACCAGAAAGAGATCAGAGAGAGATCAGAGAGAGACCGGAGAGAGACCAGAGAGAGACCAGAGAGAGACCAGAGAATGAGCTCAGAGAGAGACCAGCGAGAGGCCAGAGAGAGACCAGAGAGAGAGACCAGAGAGAGAGCAAAGAGAAACCAGAAAGAGATCAGAGAGAGATCAGAGAGAGACCGGAGAGAGACCAGAGAGAGACCAGAGAGAGACCAGAGAATGAGCTCAGAGAGAGACCAGCGAGAGACCTGAGAGAGACCAGGGAGAGACCAGAGAGAGACCAGAGAATGAGCTCAGAGAGAGACCAGCGAGAGACCTGAGAGAGACCAGAGAGAGACCAGAGAGAGACCAGAGAATGAGCTCAGAGAGAGACCAGCGAGAGACCTGAGAGAGACCAGGGAGTAAGAGAGAGAGAGGTCTCCAACACCACTTCCTCATCACCCACTTCCTGATCTTCCACTTCCTGTTTTCTCCCACTTCCTGATCTTCCACTTCCTGTTTTCTCCCACTTCCCAACCTCACGTCGTGGATGGCCCCAGTTCCTGGCAGGTTTCCTTCTGTCTCGCTGCAGATCTCTTGCACCAGTTTAATAATCACATCACAACTTCCTAACGAAGCATCACTTTCACGCCGAGAAAATGGAAACAGAAATTCAAAGAGGTCTCAGTGCAGATAAAAGTCATCCCCCACAGAGAGCGAGACCGAGGCGAGACCGAGGTGAGACCGAGGCGAGACCGAGGCGCACGGATAATGGTCACTTTGCATTCTCTCAGGCAAAACGTTGACTTGTTTTAATGGTGTTTGTGATGTACGGAACAGTAGCAGGCCTCAAACACTAAAAAAGTCAATCTGATGTAGTTTTGTATCGCCCTAAATCGGGAAGACCAGAGTCCAGAGATGTTTGTAAAAGTCCCAGATCTTCATGGTCCGTAGACCCTCCTGCATCAGAGAGGAACCACTCTGCAAGACATCCGGGGAGGCCCATGTAGAGAGAGGGGTCTACTGCCATGGGTGGACAGGCTGTAGGTCCAGGACTGAGGCTGTAGGTCCAGGACTGAGGCTGTAGACCCAGGACTGAGGCTGTAGACCCAGGACTGAGGTTGTAGACCCAGGACTGAGGCTGTAGATCCAGGACTGAGGCTGTAGGTCCAGGACTGAGGCTGTAGATCCAGGACTGAGGCTGTAGATCCAGGACTGAGGCTGTAGGTCCAGGACTGAGGCTGTAGGTCCAGGACTGAGGCTGTAGACCCAGGACTGAGGCTGTAGACCCAGGACTGAGGTTGTAGACCCAGGACTGAGGTTGTAGACCCAGGACTGAGGCTGTAGATCCAGGACTGAGGCTGTAGGTCCAGGACTGAGGCTGTAGATCCAGGACTGAGGCTGTAGATCCAGGACTGAGGCTGTAGGTCCAGGACTGAGGCTGTAGACCCAGGACTGAGGTTGTAGACCCAGGACTGAGGCTGTAGATCCAGGACTGAGGCTATAGATCCAGGACTGAGGCTGTAGACCCAGGACTGAGGCTGTAGACCCAGGACTGAGGCTGTAGACCCAGGACTGAGGCTGTAGACCCAGGACTGAGGCTGTAGACCCAGGACTGAGGCTGTAGGTCCAGGACTGAGGCTGTAGACCCAGGACTGAGGCTGTAGACCCAGGACTGAGGCTGTAGATCCAGGACTGAGGCTGTAGATCCAGGACTGAGGCTGTAGATCCAGGACTGAGGCTGTAGGTCCAGGACTGAGGCTGTAGATCCAGGACTGAGGCTGTAGACCCAGGACTGAGGTTGTAGACCCAGGACTGAGGTTGTAGACCCAGGACTGAGGCTGTAGATCCAGGACTGAGGCTGTAGACCCAGGACTGAGGCTGTAGATCCAGGACTGAGGCTGTAGACCCAGGACTGAGGCTATAGATCCAGGACTGAGGCTGTAGATCCAGGACTGAGGCTATAGACCCAGGACTGAGGCTGTAGACCCAGGACTGAGGCTGTAGACCCAGGACTGAGGTTGTAGACCCAGGACTGAGGTTGTAGACCCAGGACTGAGGCTGTAGATCCAGGACTGAGGCTGTAGACCCAGGACTGAGGCTATAGATCCAGGACTGAGGCTGTAGACCCAGGACTGAGGCTATAGACCCAGGACTGAGGCTGTAGACCCAGGACTGAGACTGTAGATCCAGGACTGAGGCTGTAGATCCAGGACTGAGGCTGTAGACCCTGGACTGAGGCTATAGACCCAGGACTGAGGCTGTAGATCCAGGACTGAGGCTATAGACCCAGGACTGAGGCTGTAGACCCAGGACTGAGGCTGTAGATCCAGGACTGAGGCTGTAGACCCAGGACTGAGGCTATAGATCCAGGACTGAGGCTGTAGATCCAGGACTGAGGCTATAGACCCAGGACTGAGGCTGTAGACCCAGGACTGAGGCTGTAGACCCAGGACTGAGGCTGTAGACCCAGGACTGAGGTTGTAGACCCAGGACTGAGGTTGTAGACCCAGGACTGAGGCTGTAGATCCAGGACTGAGGCTGTAGACCCAGGACTGAGGCTGTAGATCCAGGACTGAGGCTGTAGATCCAGGACTGAGGCTATAGACCCAGGACTGAGGCTGTAGACCCAGGACTGAGGCTGTAGGTCCAGGACTGAGGCTGTAGACCCAGGACTGAGGCTGTAGACCCAGGACTGAGGCTGTAGATCCAGGACTGAGGCTGTAGATCCAGGACTGAGGCTGTAGGTCCAGGACTGAGGCTGTAGATCCAGGACTGAGGCTGTAGACCCAGGACTGAGGTTGTAGACCCAGGACTGAGGCTGTAGACCCAGGACTGAGGCTGTAGACCCAGGACTGAGGCTGTAGACCCAGGACTGAGGCTGTAGACCCAGGACTGAGGCTGTAGACCCAGGACTGAGGCTGTAGATCCAGGACTGAGGCTGTAGACCCAGGACTGAGGCTGTAGACCCAGGACTGAGGCTGTAGACCCAGGACTGAGGCTGTAGACCCAGGACTGAGGCTGTAGACCCAGGACTGAGGCTGTAGACCCAGGACTGAGGCGTTCAGGGGTACCATCTTCATGCTGTGAAATAGATAGTGGGATTTCCATTTTATATCCTCTGGTAATTGGATTTTTTTTGTTTTTCTTTAACAATCGATAATTGCTCCTTGATCAAAAGGGCCAGGTTTGTTTGAGCACTGTGTATGAACTGTGCTACACAGATAAACTTGCCGTGTGTGAAGTTGGAATGAAACAAATGTGGATCTGAAATAACAAACCTGTTTAAACACGTCGGTTTAAATCTGATCCTGAGCCACATGTTCACAGATGTTCCTGGTCCAACATCTGGGGCCCACAATGCATCTGGAGGAAAAGGCCCACAATGCATCTGGGTTTCTACAGTCCATAAAGAGTCTGCAGCCGGTCAAGGACAAGTGAAGCCGAGGCCCCTCCCAACTGAGGCCGAGGCCCCTCCCAACTGAGGCCGAGGCCCCTCCCAACTGAGGCCGAGGCCCCTCCCAACTGAAGCCGAGGCCCCTCCCAACTGAGGCCGAGGCCCCTCCCAACTGAGGCCGAGGCCCCTCCCAACTGAAGCCGAGGCCCCTCCCAACTGAAGCCGAGGCCCCTCCCAACTGAAGCCGAGGCCCCTCCCAACTGAGGCCGAGGCCCCTCCCAACTGAAGCCGAGGCCCCTCCCAACTGAGGCCGAGGCCCCTCCCAACTGAGGCCGAGGCCCCTCCCAACTGAAGCCGAGGCCCCTCCCAACTGAAGCCGAGGCCCCTCCCAACTGAGGCCGAGGCCCTTCCCAACTGAAGCCGAGGCCCCTCCCAACTGAAGCCGAGGCCCCTCCCAACTGAGGCCGAGGCCCCTCCCACAGGTGGAATGCTCCCAGAGAAAGAGGGCCTTGTCTGCGGCGTCTTCTTTGTCGTGAGCAAAGAATGTTAGAATCAGACGAGGTTTCCCCGAGAGTTCAGAGAGAGACAGACTTTGAAGAAACCAGTCTCAGAGAACTTTATTATTCTCACAAATGTAGATTAGTGTAGAGTAACTTTATTATTCTCACAAATGTAGATTAGTGTAGAGTAACTTTATTATTCTCACAAATGTAGATTAGTGTAGAGTAACTTTATTATTCTCACAAATGTAGATTAGTGTATAGTAACTTTATTATTCTCACAAATGTAGATTAGTGTAGAGTAACTTTATTATTCTCACAAATGTAGATTAGTGTAGAGTAACTTTATTATTCTCACAAATGTAGATTAGTGTAGAGTAACTTTATTATTCTCACAAATGTAGATTAGTGTAGAGTAACTTTATTATTCTCACAAATGTAGATTAGTGTAGAGTAACTTTATTATTCTCACAAATGTAGATTAGTGTATAGTAACTTTATTATTCTCACAAATGTAGATTAGTGTATAGTAACTTTATTATTCTCACAAATGTAGATTAGTGTAGAGTAACTTTATTATTCTCACAAATGTAGATTAGTGTAGAGTAACTTTATTATTCTCACAAATGTAGATTAGTGTAGAGTAACTTTATTATTCTCACAAATGTAGATTAGTGTAGAGTAACTTTATTATTCTCACAAATGTAGATTAGTGTAGAGTAACTTTATTATTCTCACAAATGTAGATTAGTGTAGAGTAACTTTATTATTCTCACAAATGTAGATTAGTGTAGAGTAACTTTATTATTCTCACAAATGTGTAGTAACTTTATATTTCACAAATGTGTAGAGTAACTTTATTATTCTCACAAATGTAGATTAGTGTATAGTAACTTTATTATTCTCACAAATGTAGATTAGTGTAGAGTAACTTTATTATTCTCACAAATGTAGATTAGTGTAGAGTAACTTTATTATTCTCACAAATGTAGATTAGTGTAGAGTAACTTTATTATTCTCACAAATGTAGATTAGTGTAGAGTAACTTTATTATTCTCACAAATGTAGATTAGTGTAGAGTAACTTTATTATTCTCACAAATGTAGATTAGTGTAGAGTAACTTTATTATTCTCACAAATGTAGATTAGTGTATAGTAACTTTATTATTCTCACAAATGTAGATTAGTGTAGAGTAACTTTATTATTCTCACAAATGTAGATTAGTGTAGAGTAACTTTATTATTCTCACAAATGTAGATTAGTGTAGAGTAACTTTATTATTCTCACAAATGTAGATTAGTGTAGAGTAACTTTATTATTCTCACAAATGTAGATTAGTGTAGAGTAACTTTATTATTCTCACAAATGTAGATTAGTGTAGAGTAACTTTATTATTCTCACAAATGTAGATTAGTGTAGAGTAACTTTATTATTCTCACAAATGTAGATTAGTGTAGAGTAACTTTATTATTCTCACAAATGTAGATTAGTGTAGAGTAACTTTATTATTCTCACAAATGTAGATTAGTGTAGAGTAACTTTATTATTCTCACAAATGTAGATTAGTGTAGAGTAACTTTATTATTCTCACAAATGTAGATTAGTGTAGAGTAACTTTATTATTCTCACAAATGTAGATTAGTGTAGAGTAACTTTATTATTCTCACAAATGTAGATTAGTGTAGAGTAACTTTATTATTCTCACAAATGTAGATTAGTGTAGAGTAACTTTATTATTCTCACAAATGTAGATTAGTGTATAGTAACTTTATTATTCTCACAAATGTAGATTAGTGTAGAGTAACTTTATTATTCTCACAAATGTAGATTAGTGTAGAGTAACTTTATTATTCTCACAAATGTAGATTAGTGTAGAGTAACTTTATTATTCTCACAAATGTAGATTAGTGTAGAGTAACTTTATTATTCTCACAAATGTAGATTAGTGTAGAGTAACTTTATTATTCTCACAAATGTAGATTAGTGTAGAGTAACTTTATTATTCTCACAAATGTAGATTAGTGTAGAGTAACTTTATTATTCTCACAAATGTAGATTAGTGTAGAGTAACTTTATTATTCTCACAAATGTAGATTAGTGTAGAGTAACTTTATTATTCTCACAAATGTAGATTAGTGTAGAGTAACTTTATTATTCTCACAAATGTAGATTAGTGTAGAGTAACTTTATTATTCTCACAAATGTAGATTAGTGTAGAGTAACTTTATTATTCTCACAAATGTAGATTAGTGTAGAGTAACTTTATTATTCTCACAAATGTAGATTAGTGTAGAGTAACTTTATTATTCTCACAAATGTAGATTAGTGTAGAGTAACTTTATTATTCTCACAAATGTAGATTAGTGTAGAGTAACTTTATTATTCTCACAAATGTAGATTAGTGTAGAGTAACTTTATTATTCTCACAAATGTAGATTAGTGTAGAGTAACTTTATTATTCTCACAAATGTAGATTAGTGTAGAGTAACTTTATTATTCTCACAAATGTAGATTAGTGTAGAGTAACTTTATTATTCTCACAAATGTAGATTAGTGTAGAGTAACTTTATTATTCTCACAAATGTAGATTAGTGTAGAGTAACTTTATTATTCTCACAAATGTAGATTAGTGTAGAGTAACTTTATTATTCTCACAAATGTAGATTAGTGTAGAGTAACTTTATTATTCTCACAAATGTAGATTAGTGTAGAGTAACTTTATTATTCTCACAAATGTAGATTAGTGTAGAGTAACTTTATTATTCTCACAAATGTAGATTAGTGTAGAGTAACTTTATTATTCTCACAAATGTAGATTAGTGTAGAGTAACTTTATTATTCTCACAAATGTAGATTAGTGTAGAGTAACTTTATTATTCTCACAAATGTAGATTAGTGTAGAGTAACTTTATTATTCTCACAAATGTAGATTAGTGTAGAGTAACTTTATTATTCTCACAAATGTAGATTAGTGTAGAGTAACTTTATTATTCTCACAAATGTAGATTAGTGTAGAGTAACTTTATTATTCTCACAAATGTAGATTAGTGTAGAGTAACTTTATTATTCTCACAAATGTAGATTAGTGTAGAGTAACTTTATTATTCTCACAAATGTAGATTAGTGTAGAGTAATAATGGACTCACATGTGATCAGTGACATCAACAGCTTTTCACCGTCTGAAAAACTATATCCAGGGCTCTTCAAACTGAGACTGCAGACTAGAACCAGGAAGTAGCATCACGTTAGTCCAGACTAGAACCAGGAAGTAGCATCACATTAGTCCAGACTAGAACCAGGAAGTACCATCACATTAGTCCGGACTAGAACCAGGAAGTAGCATCACGTTAGTCCAGACTAGTGCCAGGAAGTAGCATCACATTAGTCCAGACTAGAACCAGGAAGTACCATCACATTAGTCTCGGTCCCTGTACCCGTGGCTCAGAGAGAAAACTTTCTCTCTTTTGAATGCACTGTGATTATTTAGTTTATGATTAATAATCCCTGGACTCTCTCTCTCTCAGATCTCTCTCTCTCCGGGGTCTCTCCTTTTTAACGCCTTGTGTGACTGTTTCCGTCTAGTTCAGCAGTTTGAGTTTCCTTGTGTATGAACTGTGCTCTACAATCAACCTTGCCTTGCCTGTTTAGTATCGGCCAAACTAAAAGTATTTGTTGTAACCATTTTCCTATACTCTGATGCGTTACTATGGTTACTCCACAATGTGAACACTCAAACTTGGACCCAAAAGGACCTTGTGCCTTTTGTGAAATGTCTGAAACGAATGTTCAGCACCTTTTTCAGTCCTGGTGTTGTTACAGTTTGCAGAGAGAGAGAGACTGAAGAAGTTTGACAAGTTTGTTCACAGCATGAGCAGGAAGTAAGATAAGATAAACCCATGTTCGTCTCGCGGTGGAGAAATGTCATCGTAGCACATCACAGCAGAGAAAGAAGGAAATCAGAGCCGTCAGACGCACACATCAAACAAGTCGATTATTTAAGATATTAACGGCTTATTGAACAAGCGCGAGGTCTGTACGGAGAAATATCAGGCCGTGGTCTTTTGGTACAGACCGAGCCGTGGTGAGGGCCGTGCAAAAAGACCAAGGTACAGACCGAGCAAGCCAGGTTCATAAATGTTTTATTATATGGCTCTTTTTGTTTGTGCAAATATCGATCGGTTTCAACTAAAAACACATTTAACCAAACTGTCAAACTGTGACATGAAGAACTTATCAGAGGATGGAGGCGCTGGATTGGAACATGGTCAGAGAAGAAGTCTGTCTCACGTTATCAGGAAGACTGTAAATCTGAAATGCAGCCTCCCCATGATTAGTCTTGACTGTGGGACCAGCAGGAGGCCAGTCCCTGTGCTCCTCAGAGTCCCAGCAGGAGGTCAGTCCCTGTGCTCCTCAGAGTCCCAGCAGGAGGCCAGTCCCTGTGCTCCTCAGAGTCCCAGCAGGAGGTCAGTCCCTGTGCTCCTCAGAGTCCCAGCAGGAGGCCAGTCCCTGTGCTCCTCAGAGTCCCAGCAGGAGGCCAGTCCCTGTGCTCCTCAGAGTCCCAGCAGGAGACCAGTCCCTGTGCTCCTCAGAGTCCCAGCAGGAGACCAGTCCCTGTGCTCCTCAGAGTCCCAGCAGGAGACCAGTCCCTGTGCTCCTCAGAGTCCCAGCAGGAGGCCAGTCCCTGTGCTCCTCAGAGTCTGATTGTATTGTAGATGTTCTTGTTTCAATACCGTGTCTCGTTCTAAGACAGAGACAGAGACACAGAGACAGACTCAGACTCAGAGACAGAGACACAGAGACACAGAGACAGACACAGAGACAGACTCAGACACAGAGACAGAGACACAGAGACACAGAGACAGAGACACAGACTCAGACACAGACACAGAGACAGACTCAGACACAGAGACAGAGACACAGAGACACAGACACAGAGACAGACTCAGACACAGAGACAGAGACACAGAGACACAGACACAGAGACAGACTCAGACACAGAGACAGAGACACAGAGACACAGACACAGAGACAGACTCAGACACAGAGACAGAGACACAGAGACACAGACACAGAGACAGACTCAGACACAGAGACAGAGACACAGAGACACAGACACAGACACAGAGACAGACTCAGACACAGAGACAGAGACACAGAGACACAGACACAGAGACAGACTCAGACACAGAGACAGAGACACAGAGACAGAGACACAGAGACAGACTCAGACACAGAGACAGAGACACAGAGACACAGACACAGAGACAGACTCAGACACAGAGACAGAGACACAGAGACACAGAGACAGAGACAGACTCAGACACAGAGACAGAGACACAGAGACACAGACACAGAGACAGACTCAGACACAGAGACAGAGACACAGAGACACAGACACAGAGACAGACTCAGACACAGAGACAGAGACACAGAGACAGAGACACAGAGACAGACTCAGACACAGAGACAGAGACACAGAGACAGAGACACAGAGACACAGAGACAGACACAGAGACAGACTCAGACACAGAGACAGAGACACAGAGACAGACTCAGACACAGAGACAGAGACACAGAGACAGAGACACAGAGACACAGAGACAGACTCAGACACAGAGACAGAGACACAGACTCAGACACAGACACAGAGACAGACTCAGACACAGAGACAGAGACACAGAGACACAGACACAGAGACAGACTCAGACACAGAGACAGAGACACAGAGACACAGACACAGAGACAGACTCAGACACAGAGACAGAGACACAGAGACACAGAGACAGAGACAGACTCAGACACAGAGACAGAGACACAGAGACACAGACACAGAGACAGACTCAGACACAGAGACAGAGACACAGAGACACAGACACAGAGACAGACTCAGACACAGAGACAGAGACACAGAGACACAGACACAGAGACAGACTCAGACACAGAGACAGAGACACAGAGACACAGACACAGAGACAGACTCAGACACAGAGACAGAGACACAGAGACACAGACACAGAGACAGACTCAGACACAGAGACAGAGACACAGAGACACAGACACAGAGACAGACTCAGACACAGAGACAGAGACACAGAGACAGAGACACAGAGACAGACTCAGACACAGAGACAGAGACACAGAGACAGAGACACAGAGACAGACTCAGACACAGAGACAGAGACACAGAGACAGAGACACAGAGACAGACTCAGACACAGAGACAGAGACACAGAGACAGAGACACAGAGACACAGAGACAGACACAGAGACAGACTCAGACACAGAGACACAGGCAGCTCAGAGATGGGAAAGATGATCCAAAGAATGAGGAGGATGCAGACCGCGGTAACCCACAGAGGACAGACGGTTAATTGATGTGTCACTCCATTCTCCGTCGTCTGAATGATTCTCCGGACGCTCTCTCCTCTGCATCAATCTGCTTTGGTTGGAGGTCACCCGCTTGGAACGCAGAATCCTGATCAGGTCTGGGTCCGTCCAAGTCCTGGTCAGTCTGGGTCCGTCCAAGTCCCCCCCCCCTCCCCTCGGGCACAAAGCAGAGCTGAGCCTTTATCTGCAGCTCTGACTGACATGTATATTAGCTGCAGACGCTTTCTCCTAAGGCTCTGAAAATACATCATATTTTCTCCCTCCACAACCTCAAGAGAGAGACCTCAGAGAGAGAGAGACCAAAAAGAAACCAGAGAGAGACCTGAGAGAGAGAGAAAGACCAGAGAGAGAGAGAGGCCAGAGAGAGAGAGGCCAGAGAGAGAGAGGCCAGAGACAGAGAGGCCAGAGAGAGATAGAGAGACCAGAGAGAGAGAGGCCAAAGAAAGAGACCGGAGTGAGAGACTTGAGAGAGACCAGAGAGAGACCAGAGAGAGAGACCAGAAAGAGAGACCTGAGAGAGACCTGAGAGAGACCAGAGAGAGACCAGAGAGAGACCAGAAAGAGACCAGAGAGAGACCAGAGAGAGACCAGAAAGAGACCAGAGAGAGACCAGAGAGAGACCAGAAAGAGACCAGAGAGAGACCAGAGAGAGACCAGAGAGAGAGACCAGAAAGAAACCAGAGAGAGACCAGAGAGAGAGACCAGAGAGAGACCAGAGAGAGACCAGAGAGAGACCAGAGAGAGACCTGAGAGAGACCAGAGGAGAGACCAGAGAGAGACCAGAAAGAGACCAGAGAGAGACCAGAGAGAGACCAGAAAGAGACCAGAGAGAGACCAGAGAGAGACCAGAGAGAGAGACCAGAGTGAGACCAGAGAGAGAGACCAGAGAGAGACCAGAAAGAAACCAGAAAGAGACCAGAGAGAGAGACCAGAGAGAGACCAGAGAGAGACCAGAGAGAGACCAGAGAGATAGACCAGAGAGAGATAGAGAGATACTAAAGGCCAGAGAGAGGCCAAAGAAAGAGACCGGAGTGAGAGACTTGAGAGAGACCAGAGAAAGACCAGAGAGAGAGACCAGAAAGAGAGACCTGAGAGAGACCAGAGAGAGACCAGAGAGAGACCAGAGAGAGACCAGAAAGAGACCAGAGAGAGACCAGAGAGAGACCAGAAAGAGACCAGAGAGAGACCAGAGAGAGACCAGAAAGAGACCAGAGAGAGACCAGAGAGAGACCAGAAAGAGACCAGAGAGAGACCAGAGAGAGACCAGAGAGAGAGACCAGAGAGAGACCAGAAAGAAACCAGAAAGAGACCAGAGAGAGAGACCAGAGAGAGACCAGAGAGAGACCAGAGAGAGACCAGAGAGAGACCTGAGAGAGACCAGAGAGAGACCAGAGAGAGACCAGAAAGAGACCAGAGAGAGACCAGAGAGAGACCAGAGAGAGAGACCAGAGAGAGACCAGAAAGAAACCAGAAAGAGACCAGAGAGAGAGACCAGAGAGAGACCAGAGAGAGACCAGAGAGAGACCAGAAAGAGACCAGAGAGAGACCAGAGAGAGACCAGAAAGAGACCAGAGAGAGACCAGAGAGAGACCAGAGAGAGAGACCAGAGAGAGACCAGAAAGAAACCAGAAAGAGACCAGAGAGAGAGACCAGAGAGAGACCAGAGAGAGACCAGAGAGAGACCAGAGAGAGACCAGAGAGAGACCTGAGAGAGACCAGAGAGAGACCAGAGAGAGACCAGAAAGAGACCAGAGAGAGACCAGAGAGAGACCAGAGAGAGAGACCAGAGAGAGACCAGAAAGAAACCAGAAAGAGACCAGAGAGAGACCAGAGAGAGACCAGAGAGAGACCAGAGAGAGAGACCTGAGAGAGACCAGAGAGAGACCAGAGAGAGACCAGAAAGAGACCAGAGAGAGACCAGAGAGAGACCAGAGAGAGACCAGAGAGAGACCAGAGAGAGACCAGAGAGAGAGACCAGAGAGAGACCAGAGAGAGAGACCAGAGAGAGACCAGAAAGAAACCAGAAAGAGACCAGAGAGAGAGACCAGAGAGAGACCAGAGAGAGACCAGAGAGATAGACCAGAGAGAGATAGAGAGATACTAAAGGCCAGAGAGAGGCCAAAGAAAGAGACCGGAGTGAGAGACTTGAGAGAGACCAGAGAAAGAGACCAGAAAGAGAGACCTGAGAGAGACCAGAGAGAGACCAGAGAGAGACCAGAGAGAGACCAGAAAGAGACCAGAGAGAGACCAGAGAGAGACCAGAAAGAGACCAGAGAGAGACCAGAGAGAGACCAGAAAGAGACCAGAGAGAGACCAGAGAGAGACCAGAGAGAGAGACCAGAGAGAGAGACCAGAGAGAGACCGGAAAGAAACCAGAAAGAGACCAGAGAGAGACCAGAGGGAGACCAGAAAGAGAGACCAGAGAGAGACCAGAGATAACCGACACTGCTCCTGACGTTTTTCTCCTAAGGCTCTGGGAACACATCATATTTTCCTTTTCTCGGCTCAGATCGCGTCCACATCAAGGCGTCTTTGTTGCATACTAATTGCGTGAGGCTCACCTCCGAGAACAAGCAAAAATACTGCAGTGGGGAGAGAAACCTGGCTGTTTTTTTTTCCATCTGTGAGTGAACACGAATGTCACCGGTGAGAGACAGTGAGAGATTTAGCGTCGCCGCAGAACAGGGGGAGTCACAGCACAGACTCCTCTGATTTGTTTTCGTGGCTTTGTATAGAGATAAACAGATTGTATTTTTGACTCCTGCCGTCAGACTGCTGTTGCCCTCTGCTGAGAGAGAGGACACTGAAGCACCCGTCGATAAACACGGATTGACTGATTTGATTCATTTAAGCAGAATTTATACATTCATAAGTATTCATAACTGCATTTCTTTCGTTTATGGAGACTCGTTGGGATATTGTTGTTGTTGTGACAGACAGAAGCTGGACGAGGTCATGCAGAAGTGCAGCCCTGCTCTGGAGAGTAGCTTCAGTGACAGACTTGTCCACCCTCGCCGTGTGAAGGAGGGGGTTCCGCAGGTTTATCAGTCTGAGGACGTTGTGTCAAATCAAAAATCATTTCAAAATAAAATAAGGCTAGTTGTACAAATTTTTATGTAGATTGTTATACCGAAATGATGGTGGTCATAGAATATACCGTTCTACAGGTTATAGCTAGGCTTTAAGGCTAATTTCCATCTAGGGTAGGGTTAGGGTCACATGGTCAGGGTCACATGGTCAGGGTCACACTGGTCAAATACAGCAACATGAACAGAAACAAAAAACAGCTTGCATTCCCGCACAGTGCACCAAAATCCATAATGATAGAGTCATTGCACACATCCCATTATTGCACACATCAGATTATTGCACACATCCCGTTATTGCACACATCAGATTATTGCACACATCCCATTATTGCACACATCAGATTATTGCACACATCCCATTATTGCACACATCAGATTATTGCACACATCCCATTATTGCACACATCAGATTATTGCACACATCAGATTATTGCACACATCCCATTATTGCACACATCAGATTATTACACACATCCCGTTATTGCACACATCCCATTATTGCACACATCAGATTATTGCACACATCAGATTATTGCACACATCCTGTTATTGCACACATCCTGTTATTGCACACATCCTGTTATTGCACACATCCTTCACGGAAGCAAAAGAAAAATAACCCAAAACGCAGAACTGCAAAATTAATGGATTTAATTTTTTTTTTTTTTTTTACAAATGAAAACCCAGTTTTAACACTAAAAAGTAACAGATGACGGACTGAAAACAGGAACTAAAACAGACGAGGAAAGACAAAGACGGAACAGGAAGTGAAGGAAAACACAGGGTTTAAATACGAGACACAGGTGAGACACATGAGGGGGCGGGGCAAGTAATCAGGAAACAGGAAGTACACCTAAACCAACTGGGATTTGAACAAAATTACAAAATAAAACAGGAAATAACTCAAACCATGACACATATATTTATAGATTGACCAGTGTTTGAATTACCAGACCATGACAATACCATAGATCTCCATCGTGAGATCAATAAAGTTTATCTTATTTTATCTACGGTCGACAGTTAGGGCGACAGTACCGTCTCCAACTGCTCCCACAAACGTCTACTGTCGCTGTGTCCTTGGGCAAGACACTTAACCCCACGTTGCCTGAAGCCCCCGCTGAAAGACCAAGGCTGGACCCACCCCCTGCAGAGGATCAGAGGGACTGGTGCTGTGAGCATTGGGAGCAGCCCCCGACCCCAAAATGGACTAATAAATGATTAGAAAATGAATGAATGAATGAATCTACGGTAAATCTCTGTTACAGCCGTTCTCGTCTCGTTTTCTCCAATAAAATCTGAACCCGTCTCTCCGACTCCAACCCTCCGTCATTTGCAAACGGTTGCATCATGGGTCTGTGAGTAACACCTGAGAGGAGATTGCTGCCATTTGGTCGTTCAACTTTGATGGATTTCAGGTTTTAAAACAGGTGGATCTAAAGGTTTGGCTTTGTGCTTGTTATACAGGTTTGATTCACTTCAGTGTGTTTGTGTTTAGTGTTAAATCACAGCAGTAGTTTTCTCAGAGGACTTTACAAAACAGTTGAATTCGCCAACGCAGATCAGAGATTGCATTGAGACATTGGTCCATCAGGAGTAGAGACCATGTCTGTAAACGTTGATAAATGTCCATAAACGTTGATAAATGTGGTTTCTCACTTTTTCCCACTGGGTTTTTTAAGAGTTTTTCCTTGTCGATGCAGGAGGGTCTTGTTGGACGGTTAGTGTCCAACAGAAAGGATTGGTGATGATCAGGAGACTTTAGCATTCTACAACATGTATGGACATTTTCTTCTGTGTGTGCTTTATATTCTTCATGTGTTTTAACTGTTGATTCTCTGACCTGTGTTGGTGATTTCAATGGTTTTGTTAAGTCTCTGAGATGACTTCTGTTGTGACCTAGGGCTATACAAGAATAAATTGTATTGTATTGTATTGTATTGTAAATGTCCATAAACGTTGATAAATGTCCATAAACGTTGATAAATGTCTGTAAACGTTGATAAATGTCCATAAACGTTGATAAATGTCCATAAACTTTGATAAATGTCCGTAAACGTTGATAAATGTCCATAACTGTGGTTGAATGTGGAGTGTCCTGGGTCATCACTGTCCTTAGATCCTCCTGTATCCAGAAAATACAGAGGACACTTAGAAAATTAGACTTTATTTCAGTAATTCAACTCACAATGTGAAACTAATGTAGTATAGAGCAGACCTGGACAGACACCAGATCAGAGAGAGACCAGAGGGACCAGAGAGAGACCATGAGAGAGATTAGAGGGAGACCAGAAAGACCAGACACAAACATGACATTTCTTTGTGGCCCTCAGACCTTTTAAGATCTGCAAACTGTTTACTGTCTCCTCCTACTTAAATGTCTGCTCTCTCTCTGGTCTCTCCACACTCTCTCTGGTCTCTCTCTCTCTGGTCTCTTTCCGGTCTCTCTTTGGTCTCTCTCAGGACGCTCTCTAGTCTCTCTCTCCACTCTCTCTGGTCTCTCTCTGATCTCTCTCTCGTTTCACTTTGATCTCTCTCTCTGATTTCTCTCCAGTCTCTCTCTCTTACTCTGGTCTCTCTCTCTTACTCTCTCTCTCTCTCTCTCTCTCTGATCTCTCTCTCTGATCTCTCTCTCTCTCTCTGATCTCTCTCTCTGATCTCTCTCTCTCTGATCTCTCTCTCTCTGATCTCTCTCACTCAGATCTATCTCTCTCTCTCTCTCTCTGATCTCTCACTCAGATCTCTCTCTCTGATCTCTCTCACCCTGGTCTCTCCTTTGCCAGTCTCCACATAATTCCAAACAAAAACATGAGTGAAAAATGAAATCTGAAGGAGCCACAGAAGATGTAGGTTTTACTTTCACTTCTTTGTTGAGATTTGTTGGTGCGACAGTCGAGAGGCGTCAGCAGAATCCCGGGACCAGAGTCGGCGTCAGCACTTTCTCCCTCCGCCGTGAGCACCGGGACATTGCTCTTGTCAACTATACCATGATCTCAAATTATAAGGACAAACAGCACAGTGGGGGGGAGAGAGGGTGAGAGGGGGGAGGAGGGGGAGGGGGTGAGCTGCTTTGAGTTTGACTGACAGCTGATGCCAATGTCAAATGAACTAGAGCAAAGACAGACTCTAAGCAGCTACTTTTTTCTAATTCTTTGACCCCTGCGGCTTATACAGCGATGCGGCTAATCTGTGTATTTTTAGTGTGATTGTCAGAAAGAAACAACGGTCTTCCTGAAAATGTGAGACAGGCCTCTTCTCTGACAACAAGCCCTGAGAGAGAGAGACCAGCAAGCCCCAGCGATCCAAGATGGCGGCGTATCCAAATCAGTGGCTTGTGCTCAGTCGCTCATGTAAATATTTGCAGAAACTCACCCATTTTTGGGCATTTTTAGAGCGGGAGGAAAAGGAGCAGAGTTTGTTGCGCTAAAGTGTGGATTTATAGATAACCGAGGGATTAACAACGACAAGAGACACTAACATCCTTTATGAATGCTGTAGGTTCTCTGTCAGGTTCTCTGTCAGTGGGGATAGTGTCTGGGTAGCCCCCGAGCCTGTGGTGGCTTCAGCTATATGCTAGCAATACACTATCCAGTTATTATTATAGATCCATGGAGAAGAGAGACAAATCAGAGAGACCGAGATGAAAAGAGATCAGAGAGAGGGACCAGAGAGAGAGACAAAAGAAAGACCAGAGAGAGACAAGAGAGAGATCAGAGGAAGACAAGAGAAAGACCAGAGAGAGAAACCATAGATAGACCAATTATTATATCCAGACATCTGGTCCTGGTTCAGTTCTGTTTTCCTGGTCCCTGTGATTGCACGACAGCCTCAGTGAGAGACGTGACCTTGGAGACTGTGGCACCTTTGTTGCGTGTTCAGTGCATCAGATTTTGTTTTTTGTGCCGCCGACCTATCATGTCGAGGATCCTTACTCAAAATAACCATTTCAACTGCTGCAGAGAGAGACCAGAGAGAGACCAGAGAGAGACTAGAGAGAGACCAGAGAGAGAGACTAGAGAGAGACCAGAGAGAGACCAGAGAAAGACTAGAGAGAGACCAGAGAGAGACCAGAGAGAGACTAGAGAGAGACTAGAGAGAGACTAGAGAGAGACTAGAGAGAGACAAGAGAGAGAGACTAGAGAGAGACTAGAGAGAGACTAGAGAGAGACAAGAGAGAGACTAGAGAGAGACTAGAGAGAGACCAGAGACTAGAGAGAGAGACCAGAGAGAGACCAGAGAGAGAGACTAGAGAGACTAGAGAGAGACTAGAGAGAGACCAGAGAGAGACCAGAGAGACAGACCAGAGAGAGACTAGAGAGAGACCAGAGAGAGACCAGAGAGAGACCAGAGAGAGACTAGGGAGAGACCAGAGAGAGACTAGAGAGAGACTAGAGAGAGACCAGAGAGAGACCAGAGAGACAGACCAGAGAGAGAGACCAGAGAGAGACCAGAGAGAGACCAGAGAGAGACCAGAGAGAGACCAGAGAGAGACCAGAGAGAGACCAGAGAGAGACTAGAGAGAGACCAGAGAGAGACCAGAGAGAGACCAGAGAGAGACCAGAGAGAGACCAGAGAGAGACCAGAGAGAGACCAGAGAGAGACTAGAGAGAGACCGAGAGAGACCAGAGAGAGACCAGAGAGAGACCAGAGAGAGACGTGACCTTGGAGACTGTGGCACCTTTGTTGCGTGTTCAGTGCATCAGATTTTGTTTTTTGTGCCGCCGACCTATCATGTCGAGGATCCTTACTCAAAATAACCATTTCAACTGCTGCAGAGAGAGACCAGAGAGAGACCAGAGAGAGACTAGAGAGAGACCAGAGAGAGAGACCAGAGAGAGACCAGAGAGAGACCAGAGAAAGACTAGAGAGAGACCAGAGAGAGACCAGAGAGAGACTAGAGAGAGACTAGAGAGAGACTAGAGAGAGACTAGAGAGAGACCAGAGAGAGACAAGAGAGAGAGACTAGAGAGAGACTAGAGAGAGACTAGAGAGAGACAAGAGAGAGACTAGAGAGAGACCAGAGAGAGACCAAGAGAGAGACCAGAGAGAGACCAGAGAGAGACCAGAGAGAGACTAGAGAGAGACCAGAGAGAGACCAGAGAGAGAGACCAGAGAGAGACTAGAGAGAGACCAGAGAGAGACCAGAGAGAGACCAGAGAGAGACTAGAGAGAGACCAGAGAGAGACTAGAGTGAGACCAGAGAGAGACCAGAGAGACAGACCAGAGAGAGAGACTAGAGAGAGACCAGAGAGAGACCAGAGAGAGACCAGAGAGAGACCAGAGAGAGACCAGAGAGAGACTAGAGAGAGACCAGAGAGAGACCAGAGAGAGACCAGAGAGAGACCAGAGAGAGACCAGAGAGAGACCAGAGAGAGACCAGAGAGAGACTAGGGAGAGATCAGAGAGAGACCAGAGAGAGAGACTAGAGAGACACCAGAGAGAGACTAGAAAGAGACTATAGAGAGACTAGAGAGAGACTAAAGAGAGAGACTAGAGAGAGTCCAGAGAGAGACTAGAGAGAGACTAGAGAGAGACCAGAGAGAGACTAGAGAGATTTGAGATAAATCAGAGAGAGAGAGAGACTAAGAAGAGACCAAAGAGAGGGACCAGAGAGAGAGACCAGAGAGAGAGACCAGAGAGGGAGACCAGAGAGAGGGAAAAGAGAGAGCGAGATCAGAGAGACACCAGAGAAAGACCAGACAGAGAGAGAGGGGGACTCGAGAGAAAGAGATACTAGGAGACCAGAGAGAGATCAGAGAAAGAGACCAGAGGGAGACTAGTGAGAGGATAAGATGCATACTGTGGGAAAAAGAAAGAAGATGAAGATGGACTCAAACCCAGGACCTTCTTGCTGTGAGGCACAAGTGCTAACCACTGCACCACTGCCCTGTTCGGACACGAGGAGGCGAGAGGAGGAAGAACACAGAGACACACAGACCTCAGATCTCACAAATACAAGGACAGTCGGAGCATCCTCCTATTTACATAAATCTCTGCCCCTGGAGTTTGGGGCTGTGTCTCCCAGAATGCACCGGGGCTTTACATTCAACATTACGGACACATATAGATGTAGAGATCTCTCTTTAGTAACTCTCTCTGGTCTCTCTCTATTCTCTCTCTGGTCCTTCTCTTGTCACTCTCTGGTCTCTCTCTCTAACCACTCTCTGGTCTCTCTAGTCTCTCTCTCTAGTCTCTCTCTATAGTCTCTCTCTAGTCTTTCTCTGGTCTCTCTCTGGTCTCTAGTCTCTCTCTGGTCTCTCTCTCTACCCTCTCTCTGGTCTCTCTAGTCTCTCTCTCTAGTCTCTCTCTAGTCTCTCTCTCTGGTCTCCCTCTGGTCTCTAGTCTCTCTCTGGTCTCTCTCTGGTCTCTCTCTCTACCCTCTCTCTGGTCTCTCTAGTCTCTCTCTCTAGTCTCTCTCTAGTCTCTCTCTCTGGTCTCCCTCTGGTCTCTAGTCTCTCTCTGGTCTCTCTCTGGTCTCTCTCTGGTCTCTCTCTCTACCCTCTCTCTGGTCTCTCTAGTCTCTCTCTGGTGTCTCTCTAGTCTCTCTCTCTAGTCTCTCTCTATAGTCTCTCTAGTCTCTCTCTGGTGTCTCTCTCTCTCTATAGTCTCTCTCTAGTCTCTCTCTGGTGTCTCTCTAGTCTCTCTCTCTAGTCTCTCTCTGGTGTCTCTCTAGTCTCTCTCTCTAGTCTCTCTCTGGTGTCTCTCTAGTCTCTCTCTATAGTCTCTCTCTAGTCTCTCTCTAGTCTCTCTCTGGTGTCTCTCTAGTCTCTCTCTCTGGTCTCTCTCTGGTGGCTTTCTAGTCTCTCTCTGGTGTCTCTCTAGTCTCTCTCTCTAGTCTCTCTCTAGTCTCTCTCTCTAGTCTCTCTCTAGTCTCTCTCTAGTCTCTCTCTCTAGTCTCTCTCTAGTCTCTCTCTCTAGTCTCTCTCTATAGTCTCTCTCTAGTCTCTCTCTGGTGTCTCTCTAGTCTCTCTCTCTAGTCTCTCTCTATAGTCTCTCTCTCTGGTGTCTCTCTAGTCTCTCTCTCTAGTCTCTTTCTCTGGTCTCTCTCTAGTCTCTCTCTCTGGTCTCCCTCTAGTCTCTCTCTGGTCTCTCAACTCTCGGGTCGGATACAGATCAGATTTAAAATCATGTGACATCACCATCGGTCTCAACATTGCTCTGTTCCTCCTCAGACTCTGCAGACATCAGGGAGTGCCCCCGGCCTGACAGGGGAGCAGGTGGGACCTCCAGCACATGACACATCTCTCTCCCTGCGTCCAGCTTCCCTCCGTGCCCCCCCCCCCCCCCCCCCCCCCCCCTGCGACCCAGCTCTCCCTCTCTGCCTCCCCCTCCCTCCCCCGTAGATCCCACATTGATATTTAAATGTACCCAGACACATAAAGACCGGACAGAATGAGACAAGGCAGACCACTCCCTGACTCTAACAGACCAATGGCAGCTAAATAATATACATTTTTATTTATACATTTGTATATATTGTCAATAAGTTTTCCTAAAGTACAATAATGCATAAAAGTGGTGGCTTAAAGTTGTTTTTATTTATTTGTTTTTTTATAGCGCTTTTTGGACACTCAAAGACGCCTCACATGTTTTCATTCAATCCAAACACTGTGTGACCTGATGTTCCGAGAGGTCTCCCATCACAGCACTAACCTGGTCCTGCCCTACTTAACTTCAGAGGTCTGACAGGATCTGACTTTCACCTGCAGAAAACCACAGTGAGGGAGAGACTTTAGACTATAGAGAGAGGGAGAGAAGGAACCCAGGGAGGGAGACGGAGAGAGGGAACCCAGGGAGGGAGACGGAGAGAAGGAGAGAGGGAACCCAGGGAGGGAGACGGAGAGAGGGAACCCAGGGAGGGAGACGGAGAGAGGGAGACGGAGAGAGGGAGAGAGGGAACCCAGGGAGGGAGACGGAGAGAGGGAGAGAGGGAACCCAGGGAGGGAGACGGAGAGAGGGAGACGGAGAGAGGGAGAGAGGGAACCCAGGGAGGGAGATGGAGAGAGGGAGAGGGAGAGAGGGAGAGACGAAGAGGGAGAGAGGGAACCCATGGGAGGGAGAGAGAGAGACGGAACCCAGGGAGCGAGATGGATAGAGGGAGAGAGAGAACCCATGGGAGAGAGAGGGAGAGGAAGAGAGGGAGAACCCAGGGGGTGAGGGAGAACCCAGGGGGGTGAGGGAGGGAGTGTCTGGACCAGTCACAGGTAATTTCATGAAAAATAAAAACATAAAAATGAACTTCGCACAGAAACAGAACCAAGAAAGTACATGAGGATGAAGAATTATACACAACAGACCTAAAGAACCTGGGTCTCTCTGGTCTCTCTCTGGTCTCTCTCTCAGGTCTCTCTCTGGTCTCTCTCTGGTCTCTCTCTCAGGTCTCTCTCTGGTCTCTTTCTGGTCTCTCTCTCAGGTCTCTCTCTGGTCTCTTTCTGGTCTCTCTCTCAGGTCTCTCTCTGGTCTCTTTCTGGTCTCTCTCTCAGGTCTCTCTCTGGTCTCTTTCTGGTCTCTCTCTCAGGTCTCTCTCTGGTCTCTTTCTGGTCTCTGTCAGGTCTCTCTCTGGTCTGTCACTCTGGTCTCTCTCTCTGGTCTCTCTCTGGTCTCTCTCTTGTCTCTCTCTGGTATCTCTCTGGTCTCTCTCTCTGGTCTCTCTCTGGTCTCTCTCTGGTCTCTCTTTTGTCTCTCTCTGGTCTCTCTCTGGTCTCTCTCTCAGGTCTCTCTCTCCGGTCTCTTTCTGGTCTCTGTCAGGTCTCTCTCTGGTCTCTCTCTGGTCTCTTTCTGGTCTCTCTCAGGTCTCTCTCTGGTCTCTCTCTCAGGTCTCTCTCTGGTCTCTTTCTGGTCTCTGTCAGGTCTCTCTCTGGTCTGTCTCAGGTGTCTCTCTCTGGTCTGTCACTCTGGTCTCTCTCTCTGGTCTCTCTCTCTGGTCTCTCTTTTGTCTCTCTCTGGTCTCTCTCTCAGGTCTCTCTCTCCGGTCTCTCTCTGGTTTCTCTCTGGTCTCTCTCTGGTCTCTCTCTGGTCTCTCTCTGGTCTCTCTCTGGTCTCTCTCTCAGGTCTCTCTCTCCGGTCTCTCTCAGGTCTCTCTCTGGTCTCTCTCTGGTCTCTCTATCTCTCTCTCTCCCCCCCCTCCCTCCCTCTCTCTCTCTCTCCTGCTGAGGACCTGGACTTTACTTAATGGACTCTCTCACCCGTGTTTCTTTCTCGGCGGAAGCTTCTTACAAACCCATTTGAAGAAGGTCTATGGATTTCATGGCTCCCCGGGCGCTCTCTCCCGCCTCAAGAAGATAAAGTCCAAGGTTTTATCCATCCGTCAATGGGGAACAGAGGACGTAGCACTTTTCAATCCCATGATGCCGCTGTCCTCTCCGTGCTCCACTGTCTCTGATGGAGGCCTCCTCATCCTGGACCTTGGTTTCTCTGCAAATATTTACAAGTGAAATGAAGTCCGGGCGGATCTGCAGAGAGCTAGAGCCACTCAGAAGAAGAAGAAGAAGAGGCAAGGTTATATGTATAGCACAGTGCTTAAATAAACAAGATAGAAACAGTCACACACGGCATTGAAATCCTAAATAATCACAGTACGTTAAAAAAGAGTAAAGAGAAAATCCTTCAGTTGTTGCAGCGAAATTGAACTGTTTTCAACCTGCAGGATTTAAGCCTGTCTCATATTTTCAGGAAGACTGTTCTAGATTTTAGCTGTATGAATCTGAAATGCTGCCTTCCCATGTTATGTCCTGACTCAGAGTCCCAGCAGGAGGCCAGTCCCTGTGCTCCTCAGAGTCCCAGCAGGAGGCCAGTCCCTGTGCTCCTCAGAGTCCCAGCAGGAGGCCAGTCCCTGTGCTCCTCAGAGTCCCAGCAGGAGGCCAGTCCCTGTGCTCCTCAGAGTCCCAGCAGGAGGCCCGTCCCTGTGCTCCTCAGAGTCCCAGCAGGAGGCCCGTCCCTGTGCTCCTCAGAGTCCCAGCAGGAGGCCAGTCCCTGTGCTCCTCAGAGTCCCAGCAGGAGGCCAGTCCCTGTGCTCCTCAGAGTCCCAGCAGGAGGCCCGTCCCTGTGCTCCTCAGAGTCCCAGCAGGAGGCCCGTCCCTGTGCTCCTCAGAGTCCCAGCAGTCCCAGCAGGAGGCCAGTCCCTGTGCTCCTCAGAGTCCCATCAGGAGGCCAGTCCCTGTGCTCCTCAGAGTCCCAGCAGGAGGCCAGTCCCTTTGCTCCTCAGAGTCCCAGCAGGAGGCCAGTCCCTGTGCTCCTCAGAGTCCCAGCAGGAGGCCAGTCCCTGTGCTCCTCAGAGTCCCAGCAGGAGGCCAGTCCCTGTGCTTCTCAGAGTTCCAGCAGGAGGCGAGTCCCTGTGCTCCTCAGAGTCCCAGCAGGAGGCCAGTCCCTGTGCTCCTCAGAGTCCCAGCAGGAGGCCAGTCCCTGTGCTCCTCAGAGTCCCAGCAGGAGGCCAGTCCCTGTGCTCCTCAGAGTCCCAGCAGGAGGCCAGTCCCTGTGCTCCTCAGAGTTAGTTCATATGGCGCTAACATGTCAGAGAGGTGCTTTGGTGCGAGGCCATAAAAAAATGACAGAGAGATTTACTTTGTCATTTAATGTTTTAGAAAGTGAAATAAATAGACAAATAAAATATAAACGATGGAACAATTATGAAGGACAAAAATTGGATTTCCACCTGTAACTCTCTGTGCTACCACCAGGGGGAGGGTTCAGTGGGTGGAGCTTTATCCAAATGTGAAACCCATTTGATTGTAAATAATTTAATTTCACTTCACAGAACTAATTAGGCAATAAAATAAAATGCTCTATCTATTCTGGTTCGAGAAACTGAAGCCGGAGCAAGAGGAATGTTTAGTAAATGTCAATGAAGCAAAGACGGTGTGGCTCTACTCCCCACGGGCTCCGTTAGTGGCAAAGGAGAGGGCTAAAGCTAGGCTAAATGCTAAAGCTAGGCTACATGCTAAATTTCTCACTCACTCGGACTCATTACATACGTCACAGTAAACTCCAATGGTTTCAATCTGCAAAAGGAGTTGACCCCTCCCACCTGACCAACCAAATCCAGACCTTAGTATGAAATGAAATGAGTACCATGGTGTGGTAAGATCACGCTAGAGTGGAATCTGACCTGCATCTTTTCTACTGTGGACCGCTGTTCTCTCTGTATCACTGTTAAACATGTTTATCTGAAGAACTGAACATATTGGTTTTTCCCACGTTGTTACGAATCAGATAAAACTTTAGTCATCTCTTGTTTGATCTGGAAGGACTGGAGTTACAGGTGCGACCGCTGCCTCCGTCTTCATTTATCCACATTTGTATTTGTATATACATATGTCTTGGCCACTGAACACGAAATACATCAGTCGACATGAACAACGACAAACCGATGTGTGTTGAATGTGTGAGAAAAGTGTGTGTCGCTGTCAGAGCCTGTTCTCCGGTGGCCTCTGGTCTCCTTCTAAATGCAGGCTCCTGACGTGGGATCTGTTTTTAGCCTCTCTGGGCAGTGGCCTGAGGTTTCACAGTCTGAGCTCAGAGTCCTGTGCTCCTCGGACTCACAGAGACTCACACAGACTCACAGAGACTCAGAGACCTCCACAGAGACTCACAGAGACTCACAGAGACTCTCAGAGACTCACAGAGACTCTCAGAGACTCTCAGAGACTCACAGAGACTCACAGAGACTCACAGAGACTCTCAGAGACTCACAGAGACTCACACAGACTCACAGACCTCCACAGACTCACAGACCTCCACAGACTTCCACAGACTCACAGACTTCCACAGACTCAGAGACCTCCACAGACTCAGAGACCTCCACAGACTCAGAGACCTCCACAGACTCACAGACCTCCACCTTCACAGACTCACAGACCTCCACAGACTCAGAGACCTCCACAGACTCAGAGACCTCCACAGACTCACAGACCTCCACAGACTCAGAGACCTCCACAGACTCACAGACCTCCACAGACTCACAGACCTCCACAGACCTCCACAGACTCACAGACCTCCACAGACTCAGAGACCTCCACAGACTCACAGACCTCCACAGACCTCCACAGACTCACAGACCTCCACAGACTCAGAGACCTCCACAGACTCACAGACCTCCACAGACTCACAGACCTCCACAGACCTCCACAGACTCAGAGACCTCCACAGACTCACAGACCTCCACAGACCTCCACAGACTCAGAGACCTCCACAGACTCAGAGACCTCCACAGACTCACAGACCTCCACAGACTCACAGACCTCCACAGACTCACAGACCTCCACAGACTCAGAGACCTCCACAGACTCACAGACTTCCACAGACTCACAGACCTCCACAGACTCACAGACCTCCACAGACCTCCACAGACTCACAGACCTCCACAGACTCAGAGACCTCCACAGACCTCCACAGACTCAGAGACCTCCACAGACTCAGAGACCTCCACAGACTCACAGACCTCCACAGACTCACAGACCTCCACAGACTCACAGACCTCCACAGACTCACAGACTTCCACAGACTCACAGACTTCCACAGACTCACAGACCTCCACAGACTCAGAGACCTCCACAGACTCACAGACCCCCACAGACTCACAGACCTCCACAGACTCACAGACCTCCACAGACTCACAGACCTCCACAGACTCACAGACCTCCAGAGACTCAGAGACCTCCACAGACTCAGAGACCTCCACAGACTCAGAGACCTCCACAGACTCAGAGACCTCCAGAGACTCACAGACCTCCACAGACTCACAGACCTCCACAGACTCAGAGACCTCCAGAGACTCACAGACCTCCACAGACTCACAGACCTCCACAGACTCACAGACCTCCACAGACTCACAGACCTCCACAGACTCACAGACCTCCACAGACTCAGAGACCTCCAGAGACTCACAGACCTCCACAGACTCACAGACCCCCACAGACTCACAGACCTCCACAGACTCACAGACCTCCAGAGACTCACAGACCTCCACAGACTCACAGACCTCCACAGACTCACAGACCTCCACAGACTCACAGACCTCCACAGACTCACAGACCCCCACAGACTCACAGACCTCCACAGACTCACAGACCTCCACAGACTCAGAGACCTCCACAGACTCACAGACCTCCACAGACTCACAGACCTCCACAGACTCACAGACCTCCACAGACTCACAGACCTCCACAGACTCACAGACCTCCACAGACTCACAGACCTCCACAGACTCAGAGACCTCCACAGACTCACAGACCTCCACAGACTCACAGACCTCCACAGACTCACAGACCTCCACAGACTCAGAGACCTCCACAGACTCACAGACCTCCACAGACTCAGAGACCTCCACCGACTCACAGACCTCCACAGACTCACAGACCTCCACAGACTCACAGACCTCCACAGACTCAGAGACCTCCACAGACTCAGAGACCTCCACAGACTCACAGACCTCCACAGACTCACAGACCTCCACAGACTCACAGACCTCCACAGACTCAGAGACCTCCACAGACTCAGAGACCTCCACCGACTCACAGACCTCCACAGACTCACAGACCTCCACAGACTCACAGACCTCCACAGACTCAGAGACCTCCACAGACTCACAGACCTCCACAGACTCACAGACCTCCACAGACCTCCACAGACTCACAGACCTCCACAGACTCACAGACCTCCACAGACTCACAGACCTCCACAGACTCACAGACCTCCACAGACTCACAGACCTCCACAGACCTCCACAGACTCACAGACCTCCACAGACTCACAGACCTCCACAGACTCACAGACCTCCACAGACTCACAGACCTCCACAGACTCAGAGACCTCCACAGACTCAGAGACCTCCACAGACCTCCACAGACTCAGAGACCTCCACAGACTCAGAGACCTCCACCGACTCACAGACCTCCACAGACTCACAGACCTCCACAGACTCACAGACCTCCACAGACTCAGAGACCTCCACAGACTCAGAGACCTCCACAGACTCACAGACCTCCACAGACTCACAGACCTCCACAGACTCAGAGACCTCCACAGACTCACAGACCTCCACAGACTCACAGACCTCCACAGACTCACAGACCTCCACAGACTCAGAGACCTCCACAGACTCACAGACCTCCACAGACTCACAGACCTCCACAGACTCACAGACCCCCACAGACTCAGAGACCTCCACAGACTCACAGACCTCCACAGACTCACAGACCTCCACAGACTCAGAGACCTCCACAGACCTCCACAGACTCAGAGACCTCCACAGACTCAGAGACCTCCACAGACTCAGAGACCTCCACAGACTCAGAGACCTCCACAGACTCACAGACCTCCACAGACTCACAGACCTCCAGAGACTCACAGACCTCCACAGACTCACAGACCTCCACAGACTCAGAGACCTCCACAGACTCACAGACCTCCACAGACTCACAGACCTCCACAGACTCAGAGACCTCCACAGACCTCCACAGACTCACAGACCTCCACAGACTCAGAGACCTCCAGAGACTCACAGACCTCCACAGACTCAGAGACCTCCACAGACTCAGAGACCTCCACAGACTCACAGACCTCCACAGACTCACAGACCTCCACAGACTCAAAGACCTCCACAGACTCAGAGACCTCCACAGACCTCCACAGACTCACAGACCTCCACAGACTCAGAGACCTCCAGAGACTCACAGACCTCCACAGACTCAGAGACCTCCACAGACTCACAGACCTCCACAGACTCACAGACCTCCACAGACTCACAGACCTCCACAGACTCACAGACCTCCACAGACTCAGAGACCTCCACAGACTCACAGACCTCCAGAGACTCAGAGACCTCCACAGACTCACAGACCTCCACAGACTCAGAGACCTCCAGAGACTCACAGACCTCCACAGACTCAGAGACCTCCACAGACTCAGAGACCTCCACAGACTCAGAGACCTCCACAGACTCACAGACCTCCACAGACTCACAGACCTCCACAGACTCAAAGACCTCCACAGACTCAGAGACCTCCACAGACTCACAGACCTCCACAGACTCACAGACCTCCACAGACTCACAGACCTCCACAGACTCACAGACCTCCACAGACTCAGAGACCTCCACAGACTCACAGACCTCCACAGACTCAGAGACCTCCACAGACTCACAGACCTCCACAGACTCAGAGACCTCCACAGACTCAGAGACCTCCAGAGACTCAGAGACCTCCACAGACTCACAGACCTCCACAGACTCAGAGACCTCCACAGACTCACAGACCTCCACAGACTCAGAGACCTCCACAGACTCACAGACCTCCACAGACTCACAGACCTCCACAGACTCAGAGACCTCCACAGACTCACAGACCTCCACAGACTCAGAGACCTCCACAGACTCAGAGACCTCCACCGACTCAGAGACCTCCACAGAGACTCACAGACCTCCACAGACTCAGAGACCTCCACAGACTCAGAGACCCCCACAGACTCACAGACCTCCACAGACTCACAGACCTCCACAGACTCACAGACCTCCACAGACTCAGAGACCTCCACAGACTCACAGACCTCCACAGACTCAGAGACCTCCACAGACTCAGAGACCTCCACAGACTCACAGACCTCCACAGACTCAGAGACCTCCACAGACTCACAGACCTCCACAGACTCAGAGACCTCCACAGACTCAGAGACCTCCACCGACTCAGAGACCTCCACAGAGACTCACAGACCTCCACAGACTCAGAGACCTCCACAGACTCAGAGACCCCCACAGACTCACAGACCTCCACAGACTCACAGACCTCCACAGACTCACAGACCTCCACAGACTCAGAGACCTCCACAGACTCACAGACCCCCACAGACTCACAGACCTCCACAGACTCACAGACCTCCACAGACTCACAGACCTCCACAGACTCAGAGACCTCCAGAGACTCAGAGACCTCCACAGACTCACAGACCTCCACAGACTCACAGACCTCCACAGACTCAGAGACCTCCACAGACTCACAGACCTCCACAGACTCAGAGACCTCCACAGACTCAGAGACCTCCACAGACTCAGAGACCTCCACAGACTCACAGACCTCCAACCATCTGTCTTCTCAACAGGATCAGTAAGAATATAAAAATGTAACGAATGCAGCCATTTCTGGTCGCTTGGCAACCAACATTCTACAGCAGTGAAAAACACATTTCTCAAGGTTCTGGTCCTGGACTGGTGTTGGTCTGGTCCTGGACAGATGTTGGTCTGGTCCTGGTCTGCAGCTGGTCTGGCCCGGACTGGTGTTGGTCTGGTTCAGAGCATTCTGCGCTTGGAGCGAGTGCTAGTTACCATAGCAACACACTGTTTACTTACTGCAGCGATTAGCATTTGGTTTTTAGTTTCGCTGTATTTCAGTTATAAAAAAACTGTATTTATTTTTTTATTTTGAATAAATACTGGAATAATTTGTGGATTTTTTTCAGAATCCCATTCATTAAAATGGGACTGCTCTGGGAGTGCTCATAGTTTCAGAGTCCTGGTGTTAAGTCGTTTGCAGACGCCACGTTCATTTTTTAAAATGTAAACTAAACTTCCTCTTTATTTATGTTTTAGGTTATTTATGTTTTTATGTGTGCTCCGGTTTCCCCTTCCACTAAAAACATACAATAGTTTTCAGCTCCTATCACTGCAGGTGGAGGGAGAGGCCTCAGGTACTTCTGCAATGTATTTATATGTTACTCTGACTTACAACATTTAAGTCAAACATGAAAAGAAGGGTTAGTTGTTTATGTAAGGGATAATGTAAAGTAGGCAGGTCACTATCGGAAATAAGTACGGACAGAAAGAAGTGGACCCTGACGTGCAGCGGGGGGTCTGCTTCACCCTGAAGGTATTATACGGCTTTGTACCAACAGAACACACAAAATAAACTTCAGTCACTTTTATGAATGCCGAAAAGTTTCTTTAATGACAGAAAATAAAATAGTTCCCAAAGGCTTTCCCGTGGCTATGCGAGTAACAGTTAGGTTAGCAACAGTTAGGCTAGTAACAGTTAGGCTAGCAACAGTTAGGCTAGCAACAGTTAGGCTAGTAACAGTTAGGCTAGTAACAGTTAGGCTAGCAACAGTTAGGCTAGCAACAGTTAGGCTAGTAACAGCTAGGCTAGTAACAGTTAGGCTAGTAACAGTTAGGCTAGCAACAGTTAGGCTAGCAACAGTTAGGCTAGTAACAGTTAGGCTAGCAACAGTTAGGCTAGTAACAGCTAGGCTAGTAACAGTTAGGCTAGCAACAGTTAGGCTAGCAACAGTTAGGCTAGTAACAGCTAGGCTAGTAACAGTTAGGCTAGCAACAGTTAGGCTAGCAACAGTTAGGCTAGTAACAGTTAGGCTAGTAACAGTTAGGCTAGCAACAGTTAGGCTAGCAACAGTTAGGCTAGTAACAGCTAGGCTAGTAACAGTTAGGCTAGCAACAGTTAGGCTAGCAACAGTTAGGCTAGTAACAGTTAGGTTAGCAACAGTTAGGCTAGTAACAGTTAGGCTAGCAACAGTTAGGCTAGCAACAGTTAGGCTAGTAACAGCTAGGCTAGTAACAGTTAGGCTAGCAACAGTTAGGCTAGTAACAGTTAGGCTAGCAACAGTTAGGCTAGTGACAGTTAGGCTAGCAACAGTTAGGCTAGTAACAGTTAGGCTAGTAACAGTTAGGCTAGTAACAGTTAGGCTAGTAACAGTTAGGCTAGCAACAGTTAGGCTAGTAACAGTTAGGCTAGTAACAGTTAGGCTAGTAACAGTTAGGCTAGTAACAGTTAGGCTAGCAACAGTTAGGCTAGCAACAGTTAGGCTAGCAACAGTTAGGCTAGTAACAGTTAGGCTAGTAACAGTTAGGCTAGTAACAGTTAGGCTAGTAACAGTTAGGCTAGTAACAGTTAGGCTAGTAACAGTTAGGCTAGCAACAGTTAGGCTAGCAACAGTTAGGCTAGCAACAGTTAGGCTAGCAACAGTTAGGCTAGTAACAGTTAGGCTAGCAACAGTTAGGCTAGTAACAGTTAGGCTAGCAACAGTTAGGCTAGCAACAGTTAGGCTAGCAACAGTTAGGCTAGTAACAGTTAGGCTAGTAACAGTTAGGCTAGCAACAGTTAGGCTAGCAACAGTTAGGCTAGTAACAGTTAGGCTAGCAACAGTTAGGCTAGTAACAGTTAGGCTAGGTTAGGCTAGCAACAGTTAGGCTAGTAACAGTTAGGCTAGTAACAGTTAGGCTAGCAACAGTTAGGCTAGCAACAGTTAGGCTAGTAACAGTTAGGCTAGTAACAGTTAGGCTAGTAACAGTTAGGCTAGTAACAGTTAGGCTAGCAACAGTTAGGCTAGTAACAGTTAGGCTAGTAACAGTTAGGCTAGTAACAGTTAGGCTAGTAACAGTTAGGCTAGTAACAGTTAGGCTAGTAACAGTTAGGCTAGTAACAGTTAGGCTAGTAACAGTTAGGCTAGTAACAGTTAGGCTAGTAACAGTTAGGCTAGTAACAGTTAGGCTAGTAACAGTTAGGCTAGTAACAGTTAGGCTAGTAACAGTTAGGCTAGTAACAGTTAGGCTAGTAACAGTTAGGCTAGTAACAGTTAGGCTAGTAACAGTTAGGCTAGCAACAGTTAGGCTAGTAACAGTTAGGCTAGTAACAGTTAGGCTAGTAACAGTTAGGCTAGTAACAGTTAGGCTAGTAACAGTTAGGCTAGTAACAGTTAGGCTAGTAACAGTTAGGCTAGTAACAGTTAGGCTAGTAACAGTTAGGCTAGTAACAGTTAGGCTAGCAACAGTTAGGCTAGCAACAGTTAGGCTAGTAACAGTTAGGCTAGTAACAGTTAGGCTAGCAACAGTTAGGCTAGTAACAGTTAGGCTAGTAACAGTTAGGCTAGTAACAGTTAGGCTAGCAACAGTTAGGCTAGCAACAGTTAGGCTAGCAACAGTTAGGCTAGTAACAGTTAGGCTAGTAACAGTTAGGCTAGTAACAGTTAGGCTAGTAACAGTTAGGCTAGTAACAGTTAGGCTAGTAACAGTTAGGCTAGCAACAGTTAGGCTAGCAACAGTTAGGCTAGCAACAGTTAGGCTAGTAACAGTTAGGCTAGTAACAGTTAGGCTAGCAACAGTTAGGCTAGCAACAGTTAGGCTAGTAACAGCTAGGCTAGTAACAGTTAGGCTAGTAACAGTTAGGCTAGTAACAGTTAGGCTAGTAACAGTTAGGCTAGTAACAGTTAGGCTAGTAACAGCTAGGCTAGTAACAGTTAGGCTAGTAACAGTTAGGCTAGTAACAGTTAGGCTAGTAACAGTTAGGCTAGCAACAGTTAGGCTAGCAACAGTTAGGCTAGCAACAGTTAGGCTAGTAACAGTTAGGCTAGTAACAGTTAGGCTAGTAACAGTTAGGCTAGTAACAGTTAGGCTAGTAACAGTTAGGCTAGCAACAGTTAGGCTAGCAACAGTTAGGCTAGCAACAGTTAGGCTAGTAACAGTTAGGCTAGTAACAGTTAGGCTAGCAACAGTTAGGCTAGCAACAGTTAGGCTAGTAACAGTTAGGCTAGCAACAGTTAGGCTAGCAACAGTTAGGCTAGCAACAGTTAGGCTAGTAACAGTTAGGCTAGTAACAGTTAGGCTAGCAACAGTTAGGCTAGCAACAGTTAGGCTAGTAACAGTTAGGCTAGCAACAGTTAGGCTAGTAACAGTTAGGCTAGTAGTTAGGCTAGCAACAGTTAGGCTAGTAACAGTTAGGCTAGCAACAGTTAGGCTAGTAACAGTTAGGCTAGCAACAGTTAGGCTAGTAACAGTTAGGCTAGTAACAGTTAGGCTAGTAACAGTTAGGCTAGTAACAGTTAGGCTAGTAACAGTTAGGCTAGTAACAGTTAGGCTAGTAACAGTTAGGCTAGTAACTAGTTAGGCGTAGGCTAGTAACAGTTAGGCTAGTAACAGTTAGGCTAGTAACAGTTAGGCTAGTAACAGTTAGGCTAGTAACAGTTAGGCTAGTAACAGTTAGGCTAGTAACAGTTAGGCTAGTAACAGTTAGGCTAGTAACAGTTAGGCTAGTAACAGTTAGGCTAGTAACAGTTAGGCTAGTAACAGTTAGGCTAGTAACAGTTAGGCTAGTAACAGTTAGGCTAGCAACAGTTAGGCTAGTAACAGTTAGGCTAGCAACAGTTAGGCTAGCAACAGTTAGGCTAGTAACAGTTAGGCTAGCAACAGTTAGGCTAGCAACAGTTAGGCTAGTAACAGTTAGGCTAGTAACAGTTAGGCTAGTGAGTTAGGCTAGTAACAGTTAGGCTAGTAACAGTTAGGCTAGTAACAGTTAGGCTAGTAACAGTTAGGCTAGTAACAGTTAGGCTAGTAACAGTTAGGCTAGTAACAGTTAGGCTAGTAACAGTTAGGCTAGTAACAGTTAGGCTAGTAACAGTTAGGCTAGTAACAGTTAGGCTAGTAACAGTTAGGCTAGTAACAGTTAGGCTAGCAACAGTTAGGCTAGTAACAGTTAGGCTAGTAACAGTTAGGCTAGCAACTTCCAAACTAGAACTCTCTCGAGCTGCATGAAAACTGAACACAGAATCCTGAACAACAGCGGTGAGTGACCCAAACATAAACTGAACCTAAATCCATAATCCGATCCTCTGCAAATGTTCCTAAAATGTCCCAGAATCTACTTCCGGGTTTTTCACAATCGCTTTTTCTTGCATTAAAACAGTATTTTTGTCATGAAAACCTGAACAGATACTTCTGAAAACCTCTGTGCACGTGTATTAAGAATGTATAAGTATAATGTATTCTCTGATTAACTTTTAAATGTGTTTATTGATTGGTATTTGTGTTTATTGAGCGTGGCTAGCTCTGATAACGACAAAGTGGCGCAGTAAACATTGTCATTTTCTGTTGCACCGACTCAACGCTGCAAAAAGTGATGAAATATAAAAGTGTCTTAATCTGAGCAGCTTCTGACTGAGCCTTAAAACAAGATTCTCCAACGGGACAAAACAAAATCATCTGGTTTGAAAAAGAAACAGAAATGTCTTCCTTGGAATGAGGAAAAAGATCCAGTTCTTGAAATAATATGAAATATCTTGTTTTAACACAGTCAGAATGTGTCAGATTAAGATCAAAAACACTTGATCTAAGCATTTA